CATACATACATGTATATGCATGCATAGGCTTTGGCACATGGAGTTCCAGTTACAGCCTAGCAAGGTGTTCTAGAAGCTTCTTTAAAACATATGATGCTAGTTAGAGCTTGTAGGCTTTCAAGTGCACTCGAGACTCTGGGAGTAGCTCAGCAATTTCTTCATTTCATCTGGGGTGTAATACCCACCCTCTTCGTCCAGCTGGTTGGTGGACTCAGAGACTTTCTTGAGCATGAAGCGGCGGATGAATTGGTCCTGCGACATCTAGTTTAATTATCTTCAGGCTATACACTATAATGGCTTAAGACGTCCATATGTTTGGAGACCTAGAACCAAGCAGCAACCTAGCCCGTCTGCATCATTTTAAAGATACCCTAAACCCTATCCTTGTCCCCGCCAGCTCTGATAAACTGCTCGAACATCTGCTCTTTGGCCTTGCCCTTACCAAGAAAAACCTCATGCATTTCCTTCGGTACATCGAGCCGACCCGACGTAGCTTTGGGTTGGCACGCCCGGCCGAACTTCCCTCGCCAATTGTTGTAGTCTTGCTGAGACAGTTTCAGGTCCCCGACTTGCACAATCTCACGTTTGTTGGCCTGCAGCGAAAGGTTCACAAACCCCGAAACCCATAATATTGAAATGACCCACCCTCAGGAGCTAACCACTATATGAATTACATACATATATATATACACTTATATATATATATATCTATCTATCTACCTATACACATATTAAGGATGATATGTTATGTAAATGACAAAGCCTTGCACCTTCTTTGCAGCTTCGACTGGGTCATCGTCAAGCAATTCTGCAGAGGCCTTCGAAGCTGCTTTGGGCGGGGTGGGCGTATGGGATGCCGTGGTTGTGGTCGGTGTTGGGGTCTCGGAGGGACCCACAGGCGCGCTGTCTCGTGAAGACGGTGTCCGACAGGATTGTATCTTCGATGGTGGTGTCTGCCAGACAATTGTGTATGAGGATATTTGGGCTGGAGGTTCACTGGGTTTTAAGACTGGGTTTCTTTAGGTATGAGGAATCCAGGTTGAGGTTTTCAGGTGTGCAGGCTTTGTAGGGGTTTTACAGTAATTCGGCCTCTAGAGCCGAAGCAGCCACAGGGGCACGATTCTCCTTCACTGGAGTGTCGGGCGGAGCTTGTGTTTCGGCTAGCATCAGCAGCTGTTTGCTCAGGGTCCCATCGGATAGTTCAGGAACCGTGGTGGCCAAAGAATCCTCAGGTTGGGTCTGCATTGCACAATGTAAGCCACAACGGGTTTTGCTTATGCAAGTACTAGAAAAAGACAAGCAGTCCTCGGTTTCAACAATCAGTCATGCACACACACTCACACACACATGTACTTAAGTTGTTTTCTCACAGAGGCCGACAGTACATGTACAGGCAAACATAGCAACCCACATACCTACCTACATATCAAGGTACCGGCACAGACACATACATACACCTGCATTGCTGTCTGTAAGTGTCGATACTCCACTCATATCAGACTCTGATCTAGTTCAATACTCTTTCTGGTAAATTGGCTACACATGTGCATGCACACAAAAGCACTGCAACAACCGTCCCATTTACTATTTGTAGGTATATATACAGACACTCTGGTACAATGTATGCTGAACACATGCAAGCATTCTAACCTTTATGTGTATACTTGGATATATGTAGGACTACACGGACCTAGCTTCTTAAGGCATAATACCGATGCAGCACTAAAGTTTTCGGGACCACAAGCATGGAGAATGTGGCCAAACTCATTCAAGTAACAGTGGTTGCTGCAGGCATCTCGGAATCACTGTCTATGATCATGTACACATCATGCGTGGCGGCAGGCGGGCTGCTCGGCTCAACCGGTTGGCACCGCAGAGGCTCCTCCTTGCACACGCGCTTGGCCTGGTTCTTCTCAAGCTTTGTGCGCACGGGCTTGGCCTGGTCCTTCTCAAGCTTTGTGCTGGGCTGGGTCTTCACCTCCTGTTCGGAGTGACACACCCACACAAGACATGTATACACACAGACATGCCCACACATACATGCATATATATATATACACACATATATATATATATTTACAGACACACATGTATCCTTATAAACAACCACATCCATACACACATGCGTATGTAGATGCACCAAGAAGCAGACATACAGCCATGCATATAGACATGTCCATATACATACCAAACCACACACACATGGATATACATATACATATATATATACATATACTGCATCTGAATGTATACACATAACCATACATACATACATACATACATACATACATACATACTGTGTGTATGAATGAATGCATGCATGTATGTATGTATGTTTGTGTTGGGCATACCTGCATATACATAAGTATGTATGTATGTATGTATGTATGTATGTATGTATATATATATATGCACGTACATATGCACATGTGTATATACATATACACATATGTATATAGGGGGTATATCTCCACAGAATATATATATATACATAGATATATTCATATTCACAAAACCCATATGTATGTATGAGTATATCGTAAAATAGACAATGACATGCATGCCTAATTCTAGATAGAGAACTAGACAGATAGATAGATAGACATGGATGCATAGATGCATGCATATACATACATACACATATACAAGCTTAGAGACAGACACACACACACACACGCACACACCCACACACACATGAGTCAGTTACTTAGGTAGCTACCTACCCACCCACCCATCTACCTACGTAGCACCCTACCTACCTAGCTACATACCTAGCTAGCTACATAGCTACGAACCTACAAACCAACCAGCCTACTTGCCTACCTAACTACCCCAACCACCGACCCACCTGCCTACCTACCTACCGACCTACCGACCTACCTAGCAATCTACCTAACTACCTACCTACCTACCTACCTACCTACCTACTTACCTACCTACCTACCTACCTACCTACCTAGCTACCTACCTACCTACCTACCAGGTTCCTACTTACCTAGCTAGCTAGCTAGCTAGCTAGCTAGCTAGCTAGCTAGCTAGCTACCTACCACTTACCTACCTAGCTACCTAGCTACCTAGCTACTCACCAGACCTAGCTACTTCTACTTATGTTAGCAAGCACGATCTAAGGGTGTATATATATATATACAATACATACCGGTACATAGCAAACACAGACTTTAATATATCCTGTCCATAGGGGCAAATCCCTGAGGCACATTACTTAGCTCAGAAGTGAACCCCGAATTCTATCCTTGATGAACTTTGCAATCTGCTCCGGATCTTCAGGCAGTGCTGCTAGAAGCTCTGATGCATCCATGCCTTCTATTGCTGCAAGTAGCGAACTACACGACCATTGCCGTGAAGTAAGCCTTTCCGGCCGTCGTTCAGACGCCATGCTATGGGCTCGGGAGAGTACAAACAACCCCGAAGCAGGCAAAAATTGCCTTGCACACAGTTGCCTCGCAGGAAGAGCCCAGCCAAGAAGCGCACAGATCAGGCCATACATTCTGTACGCTTTTTTTTGGGCGTTGTATGGTTTTTGGTTGGGCGTTGTACGGGCAAATCTGGGCGCTTATTTCTAAGCGTTTCAGTTTTTTGGGCGTTGTACGGGTACTTCTGGGCGTTGCACGGGTATTTCTGGGCGTTGCATGGGTGAATCTGAGCGTGTATGGTTGGGACCTATGTGAAAGACCAGAAAACTAGTTTTTTTCTGGTCTGGAATTAGGTGAAAAGGAGGCAAATTAGGCTTGTTTCCGTTCTAGGAGAAGCCGGGGCCTTGTGTTGTAGTCCAAACCTAGCTGAAACACTTTAATTCTAGGCGTTTCCCTTCTAGCAAGCCTTCAGGATTCCGGCCCTTTGGGGTGCACTGGCTTCAGATCCCCGGACCTTCCGAATTTAGGCTTTCCCCTTCTAGAAAGCCATACAGACTCCGAGCATTTTGGGAAGCAAGGCCTTGCCCTTCTACAAACCCTAGAATACATATATTCAGATAATGGACAAACCCTATAGACTTCAGAAACCCTCCTCTCCAAAGCCCCAAAACCCTAATCTTAAAGGGTTGGTTTCATGTACAAAAGGGAAGGAGGCTTGTGTATGGGGATGTATTAGAGGCGTACTAGAGGGTTAATTGTAAGTGCAGCAAGAGATTCATTCCCAGGGAAACCAAACGAAGTCACGGTATCTGCTTTTTTTTTAGCAGGTGCCGCCTAGAATACAGGGTTCCACCATACTGCTCAGGCTGTCTTTTAAAATTCAGAGTTCTCTAGGAAGCAGTGGAGCCCATTCGGCAGGGATCTTCAAGGCCTTGGAACCATACAGGTACTTGACAAACTCAGTCATATCAGCCATGGGCCAGAGATCCTCCCAGCCCCAAGCAGACCAGATAGTCATGGCATCAAGGTTTTGTAGTTCATCATGTTCCGAGGGTCGGGGCGTAAACTGCTTCAAGGCATGGAGCTCGCTTGCAATCTTCTTGCCAAAGGCAGCTGTGTACTGCCTTAAGTGCACATGGCATCTAGACCGATCTGCCCAGACCATGAAAAGCAACCGAGCAATGCACCACTCAAAACAGGATGTTAAATCTTCGGAAGTGACCCAGTAGCCCGCAGGTCAAAAGTGCCCTTGAAGCGCTGCCTGCCTTCCTTGTCGATCCATCGCTTGACCGGAGGTCCACATTTCCCAGGGTTCCGCTTCTCCTGCTCCGCTCGCACCTGGGCACGCTTTAAGGATCCCATCCAGAATTTGGCGATGGCTCGGCTTGAGGACCACAACACCGTCGGCTTTGGGGTTCGAGATTCATAGTGCCACATCCAGAACTGGCACTTGAATACCTGTGCCAGGGCCAGAAGTTGTTTAAATCTATGTGTGTGTGGGTATATACATATATATATATATTTATACACACACATATTTTCCTCTCTCTTTCTCTATACAGACTATATATCTATATATATATATATACAATATATATATATATACACATAATATATATATATATTTGAAGAAAGAAAGATGGATTGGATTAGCAAACTCGGGGCTCCTGCCTGCATTCTCTCACACACAAACTGCAAAGGGCTAAGCTGGAAGAGCAGGGAGGACTTCGGCTGTTCCACCACCCAGGTCCCAAGAAACGCACTTGTTGCAAGGAGCAATAGGGCCACCCTCAGGGAACATATGTCATTCAAATGATCTACATGCATGCCAGCCAAATGCAGGCCCCAGCCTAAGCAAGCCAGATCTAAAGTAAACTCTAGTTGTACTACACACTATGAAACACCTAAAACCCTATATGAGCCTCAACCGATAGCTCCAATGACCCTCCCCAGCCTAGCTGCCATCTTGTTTGCAGACTCAACGGCAGGGATATCGGAGCACCCCTCTGGATTGGCCATTGACCTGCCTGTAGAGCCCCGGCTTGTCATGACAAATGAACTACAGTGCACACCCAGCCAGTGTAGCCATCCCTTCCTGTCCCCGCGCATGGTGGCCGTCAAGAAAGCCCTGAGATCCATACATGGCCATATAGAGACCCAGTACAAAAAAGCATTGTAGAATTGAACATGGACATTACTTGGTTGAGCCGAGCATCCCAAAACCACCACTCGTTGTCACATCTAGTGCAGCACACTGCAATATGTCCATAGTAACACATTGTTGTCCTGGGAAAGAAGCACAGACCTGTTTCGTGGCCTCGGCGTCTCCAGCGAAGCTCTCGACGAAGCCATAGGAGAACACCTCATTCGGGGCAGTGGCACCCTAGTGGGGCACTTAAGATGTTAAAATTGCTTCATGGGGATCCTAGATAGGGTTTGTATGTATGTGTATCTACTCAGTGAAGTGGTGGTGCTTTTGCAGAGTAGCCAAGCAATCGGTATATACATACATGCATGCATATATTTGGCAAACTGATGATAATGAATATACACACAACACATATATATATATACATATACAGAGTGAGAAAGAATTAGACTGAGATGTGTATTGAGATAGATATACATACAGAAAGAGTCACAAGTAGCATCTGTAGACATGCATATTCCGGGAAGAAGTGGGAGAGCCCAACAATGTGGAATATACCGTTCTCTAGTCACCAGTGAGGACCTGCATGTAATAGAAGCCCAGAGATATGTAGAACCTACATGGGACTCATCAACCCCAGACTGAAATGTTATGACAGTTGCTTACTCTGCTTCCTCCAAACCCAATGGAAGAACTTGCTGCCTTCTCTGGCACAGCGCTGCCTTTATCTATACAAGACAAGCCCTGATGAAGCATTTCAACTCATGTAGAAGCCATACAGAACAGAATCCTGAAAACCCATCTCTTTCTGTTTCTTTTGTGCACTGAACTGTTTGACTCCTGTCTCCCTCGTCTTCAAATCTCTCCCCACGCCAAGGCCTCCTGAGCGAGCTCCACATCTGCGTTCCACAACAGGAGCAGGCATGCAAAGGCCAGGACCTGCAGGGTGAGCAGCAAGCTTAGCTTGGGTCTGGGTCACATACCAGTTCTATTTGGTTGTAGCAGCCACAATTGATGAAGCTCCCATGCTCGAAACTGAAACACATTTGCATCGAACGGGGGATGGGCACACGAACAAACACATATCTGAGTAATTACGGACATTAGCCAGCAGACCTTTGGTGCACCGACACGTCGCAGACGCCGAATTATATCGGCTTCTGTCCAGCTAGCCATGGCAGCAAAGACTGTAGGCTGGAGCAAGATCAGCTGCTCTGTGAGTATAAGGCCGTGGTGCCAGCAACACATTTGCAGCCAGCTGAGACAGTGCACAGGCTGATGCCTAAAGTTGCAAGCATAGCTGCTAGACAATGTGTGTAACTCATGCTTGATGCATACCTTGCAGACTCAGGCTTCAGTGAAAGTTATCCCTTATCCCACACCAAAACATGTCGGTCTGGACGGCATCCTTCTGGAGCATCAAGCAGGCCAGCTTTCGCAGCTTTGCGTTTGCCGCGCAGAGAACCAAAGACCTGCGTGGGGAGGTGACTGCACATGGGCCTTATCTGCTACATACTGGATGATGTCTTCAGCGAGAACATGCACGGCCCACTGCAGTCATGCTTCAAACTTCAATCATACTAGCATGAGCATGGGAGCATCTTAGCTCGAACCACTTGTTTCCATCCGGCAGCAACACGATGGGTCACAAAAGCCACATAGGTTCTAGGCCTGGGTTTTCCCCATTTGCATCATTGCCTGCTCTATGGCCAAGCTTGGTCTTGCAGTGGCTATACTCCCTCTAAATCCCGACACTAAAGCCCTCTATAACCTGACACTCAAATCGTTAACCCAAAGCCTATACAACCCCCAAGCCCGTTATAAGGCCAAGAACCCATGAAAAGCCATAAGACTTCCAAATATAGGCACACCTTTTGCAAACCCTGAACAAAAAACTTATAGCACTTAAAAGACCCAAAACCTTGCAGACCCAAGCAATTGTGCTATATATAGGCTTTAGACTTCCAAATTGCTTGAGTCCAAGGTTTCTTGGCTTGTGGGGCTCAATGAGGTGTTCGGGCTTTCAGGGCTCCAATGATCGTCAGGCAATCATGTTTGTTGATCAATAAGTTGGCATATATCTAGGTCTGTGTCTGTACATAATAGGTCCATAAATAAATATATATATATATATCTATTTATATTTATATACACACACATTGTTGTATATGTATATATATATATGTACATACATACATACATACATACATACATACATACATACATGCATATATATATAGACACATAATTATGTATCTATTCATACTGATGTATATATATATATACAGAGGCATATGGATACAGTTCGAAGATCACATATGTGGGCCTTCCTGCTATGTGCTAAAATACATACATACATACATACATACATGCATGCATGCATACATACATACATACATACATACATACATGTGAATGAGGTTAGGGCCTCCTCTCAAGCATCACCGAAGTCCATTTCGAATGGTCTTTAGCCCCAGCAACCAAACCACCCTATTTGGTTTAAACACTTTAAGACCGGAAGAGTAGCAAGAATTGGGTGAGCTTGTAGACCTAGTTTAAGCCTATGCTGGATGTAAACCATAAAACCACATGATGGCCTGTCGAGGCAACAATGTCTGCATAAAATCAAAACCTGTCTGAGTCTTGCTTCAGCAAAACAGGTGGCAGATCGGCAAAGGGATGGTTACCACCCCTGCATGACATCATCGAGTGCAATCATGCACCCCAAGTAACCCTAAGACCTTTTGAGACCTGCCCTAGCTGTCAGCTGACATGGAGGCTCCAGACTGTCCTTTGGATCGCGCGGCACTTCAGGCCACACCGGGAAGTTCATAGTCCCCGTCGGAAAGCCTTGGTTGATGGGATGTTTGCTTCGACTTCTGCTTCTAAAAACCTGGATTGGTTTAGGATTCCTTAGGGTTTGTTTGGGTCATATAGAGGGTTTAGGGCACTTTAGGGTTGTAATCCCATTGAAGTTATAGATCGTGGGTTTCTGGGGATCAGAACTTGATACAGTGGCATCGGGATCTGGGTTGATTGGTGAAATGTCTTGAGGAAAGCCACGTTCGCACATACTCCAAGGCTGCTTCCATGATGTATCCCCAAGGGTTCTTGTCATGCTCCGTCCAGGCCCGGCACTTCATTTGGACCAAGTCAAAGAACTGGTACTGCAGCGGGATTGAGATTTGTCGGGGGAATGGAATGTATCTGTATAAGTGATGTGTAGACATCTAGCTTATGTCAAATTACTTATAGCTTCCTTACCTAGGTTGCTTCCCCTCCCTAGTCATATATATGTATGCATAGAAACCACAAATATCAGAGGACCACTCAAATCTGTATCTATAGCAATTGGTTCCCTAAACAGATCGGCCCCATTTTTTGTGGAGCCATGCTACCCCAGTTTAAGACCCAAGACTGTCCTCGGCCACACACTTCTGGCCATCCTTCAACTTTGGCAGCACATGGGCCCTGAATGCACCAACGATGCGCCGGTACTTGTTGATTCCGGCGGCTGTCGTGGGCATTGCCCGCCGTGCAAACGTTTTCGGGAGCTCGCACTCCAAGGGTACGTCGTTCTCAGCCTGCTCAGCCTCGTCGTTTGGAGCCGGGCCAGGGACCGGCACCTTTGCTGCTGGCCTCTTCATGGCAGCCTTCCCCTTTGGCTTAGGCTTCCCCTCAGGCTTGCTGTTGCTTGCCACAACAGGTTCCTGAGGATCATCGGTGTTGGCTCTCTCGGGCTTGGCTCCTGCGGGTTCCTGGGGATCATCGGCTTTGGCTCTCTCGCACTTGGTGCCTGGCTTTGACACAGGTTCCTGGGGATCATCGGGCTTGGCTCTCTTGGACTTGGTGCCTGGCTTTGACACAGATTCCTGAGGATCATCGGGCTTGGCTCTCTTGGGCTTGGCTCCCGGCTTTGACTCGGGCTCCTGAGGATCATCGGGCTTGGCTCTCTTAGGCTTGGCTCCCCGCTTTGACTCGGGTTCCTGAGGATCATCGGGCTTGGCTCCCTTGGGCTTGGCTCCCCGCTTTGACTCGGGTTCCTGAGGATCATCGGGTTTGGCTCTCTTGGGCTTGGCTCCCGGGTTTGACTCGGGTTCCTGAGGATCATCGGCTTTGGCTCTCTTGGGCTTGGGTCCTGGCTTGTGTTTGGGGGCTTTGGACTCAGATGCCGGCTCTGCTGTACCTGTGCCCGGCATGGGTTCTGGATGGCTCGCTTGGGCTTTGGCCTTGGGTCCTCGCTTTGCTGCTGCAGCTGGCAAGGCTTCCTGATCACTGGAATTGGGTGCTGTCTTTGATGAGGTAGCTTTGGCTTCGGTGTTCTTGGGCTTGCGTCCGCGCTTTGCTCCGGCCGGTGCTTCAGCAGTTGTGTCGGCATCTGCTGCGATGGCTTTCTGAGCTGCTTTGGCTTTCTTTGCCTTTCGGCTTTCAAGAATCAAGCGCATCTGGTCATCTTTCGATGCCGGTTCCTAGCATTCCCAGGGTTTAAGAAGGGAGATACCGACAGGATGTTTCACACTTGTAGATATGCTGCCGAAGATCTACAGTGATTTATTCAAGGCCACACTTAGATTATTTGAACCATGCCATTGCCTCACATGGGGACACTGGCTCATCTTCCTCAGAAACCTTTGAAGCTGCAGAGGGGTTCACCAGTCCATCCAGCTCCATGTGATTCTTGGGAGGCGGAGACGGAGCCATCTCCTCAATGAGCCCTTCAAGGCTTTGCTCTGCCTCTGGCACATAGGTATCCTCCTGATCGGGGTTCCTCGGCAAAAGAGCACCAATGCCTCAGCAGTTGCACATATGTGAAGTCTGACCCTCGTTGCATTTGAGTTGAAGAAATATAGGTAGACTCAGGTTTACAAGTAGAACCAAACTGGAACTTACTTGATATAAGTCATACATTAACCCGAGGAATATATAGATAGACACTTATGTTCGTAGATGTATGCATGCATGAGTCAAAATGCACAAACACACATAATTAAATGAGTATACATAAGTATGTCCTGCATATATACATATATATACACAAATATACACATATATGTATGTGTCTATGTCTGTACGTATGTATGTATGTACATATGTACATATGTACGTAGGTATGTAGGTATGTATGTAGGTATGTATGTATGTATGTAGGTACATATGCGTGTGTGTGTGTGTGCACGTAACATTATCAAACATTATCTAAGAGGTTTGAAAGGCAGCTCATCTCAAGGACGACCAGAGGTGAACATCATTGCTTTAAATATGCCACAAAGTAAGATCATCAACTAAGGAAGGGTATAAACTGACAAGAAGATCGAACAGATGGCAACTTTCACAAGACCTTTTTCTGGGTTTATAAGACAAGGAAGCCCAAGGGACCCCCCAAATTATGACGAGGTTATCTTTAACTGAAGACCCAAGTCCAACTGAGGATAATCTCAATCCAGGCTACGATCTCCATAGTACAGCGTCTGGGCAGGCGAGGGGGCTACAAAGGGAGCATAGCCACCACCTTGGCCGGCAGGTGCTGCAGCTGCCGGCAAAGCAGCAGAAAGTCCAGGCAGAATCCTGTAGGGGATGTGGGGCTTTGGAGGTATTCAGAACTTCTATATATGACATAAATTAGGCATGATGGTAGATTGCAACAGCATTTACATCTAGATAGAACTTGACAGAGTTTCACAACACCCCACATTGTAGTCAAGCCAGTCACTGGAGCTGTTTCAGCACCCAGTGTTCTGATCTTGGCTCGGCAAGCCTCCAAGAACCTAGCCTTCTGCTCGTTCGTTAGCGCTGGTGACAGGTCAGCATTCCAAGTCTTCGAAGGAACATGTGGGCGACGGGAAAACACGGGTCTTGTTGACGATGAGGCTTCATCAGGGCTGGAGTCCACTGTGCACACATCAGAGGATCTGTCATTCGGGGTCTCATCCAACAAGGTTTTCTGAGTTAGCAAGCGTGGCTCTGCAGAAACCGCCTCTTGCAGCTCAGGCGGGGTTCTGGGCATATGCTCATCTGACCAAGACTCCGAAATTGTATGGGCAAGACGATAGCCTGCGGCCTCACTGTCTATCTCAAGCTTCTCCTCCCTAGTCAAACTTTGCCGACGCAAAGCCCAAGATGCCTCCCCTTGCATAGCCTCTGATGAAGCCTCCCCTTCCATAGCCTCTGATGAAGCCTCCCCTTCCATAGCCTTTGATGAAGCCTCCCCTTCCATAGCCACGGAGGAAGCCTCCCCTTCCATAGCCTTGGATGAGGCCTCATCGTCATCATCATTATCTTCAGCCTCGGCTCCTTCGAGATGCTCAGGACCAGGGACTGCATTTGCTGCTTCCTGCTTGGGTGGATGCTTGTTAGCTTCGGTAACAGTAGCATAGCATAGAAGCAACATAGTATAGAAGCCGTTTGTTAAAATACATAGCAACACACACGACAAAGTTTCAATGCGTTTCTGCCTTCTGTCTCCTCTTCACATCAATCAGCACGGCCCACAGCTCCTTGATCGTAGCATCCTTGGGGATTTCTTGCTTGTAGGATGGGTCTATATAGGTCTTAAGGTTTCAAAGTAGGTGTAAATAACAAGAAAAAATAGTTATATAGATAGAGAGATATAGAGAGAGAGAGAGCTCAGAAGGCTTTTAATTGGCTTCACCTAAAAGCAGCTCCTAAATAGGGCCCCACAGTGATTAAGCAATCGACTCGATGTAAAGCTCAATCAATGCCATGAATATGTAAAGGCTGAAGAATACACACTCACACCAAAGCAGCCTAAGCACTGCATGGCATCTTCATTCTACTTTGGATTTCGGACAATGTTTAGGAAGCCGAGGTTCTCGGGGTGTTTCTGGGCGCATGACTTTCGGACGCAAAAGGGTGAACATCTTGTGCACAATCCAGCCATCCTTGAAGGACCAAACCGCTGCATCAAAGTTTTGGACCTCCTTGAAATGCGCCTTATGCTTGTCGTACCACCCCAGAAACATCTTGGCCAGCATTTCCGCAGGGTCCGCACTCAGGCGCTGCCGAGCACTCATCTTTAACACAACCTCCTTCAGAACTAGGAAATTATGTTTGATGTTCTCAAGGTTCGGCAACACAACTGCATCCCCATTGGCAGATTGCATCAGCCTTTTCCCCGACCTGGCCCTTTCACGAAGTTCGGCATGAGTATCCCAGATTGCTGCCATGCCCTGGCACTCCTCGTCGGAGCACGACGCACCATCCGGAAACACTTTGCGAGGCATCCTAAAATGTGCCTAGCATGCCCTAAAGTGTGCCTAGCATGCCCTAGATGCCCTGAATGCCCTGGACCTGGTGTCCCCATGTCACTTCCCAGCACAAATGTGCTGTCATAAGCCACAAGCAGTCAACACCACAATCTTCGCATTCATAATCAATGCAGGAACATGACTGACACAGTCCCAGAACTCAAGCAATCGCAGCCTTCTATGCCCAATGAAACCCAGGGGTGGGCGCACCGATTTCCCCCCGGAGGACATTCTGGACGAAGCCAGAGCCCGCTGGCGGGCATGATGGCAGCTCCAGTCATCTCGATCATTCCGCCATCGATCGGTGTTGGTAGGGCTGAGGTTGTTAGGGTTGATTGATATCGATAGCCAGTGGATGAAGAAATCTATGTATACAGAGTGGTATAGCCATATTAAGAATGAACAAGCTACATTGAGAGCTACTACATAGAAGCATGCCCTAAGCATTTTCACTATATGCTATGAAACCCGGGGCCTCCAAAGGCTTCTTTCTTGGACCATCAGCTGTCGGAGCCTGCATGGGGAGGGGTCTTAGGGCCTATTGGGGCAAATCTAAGCGTACAGGCCCGGAATCTAGGCGTTACGGGTAAAACTAAGCGGGCTCAGAAAACAGTCAGCGAAGGCGGGCCCAGGTAAACTCTAAACCATGAAGCTCCAGAAGCACCCCTTCTGTTGAGGCTTCCCCCTCCTCAATCTTCGAACTGAGCTCCCTGACGACTCCTCTCAGCTCTTCCAACTTGAGATTGCTTTAGGGTTTAGGGTTTAGGGAATTAGAGATCCGATTAGAGATCCGATAACATGCCCTAAACCCTAAATCCTAAACTCAAAACAGAGGGGGGCAGAGCCTTGATCTTGTATTTAGTCATACTGCGCTGAACCTAAGGAGTTCTAAGAGTCAACCCTGATGATCCCTCCTGCTTCGATCTCTGCTAACCCTGGGGCTCCAAATAGCCCAAAGCAGGTCCTATTTTTAGACTTTAGGCCCCAAAGTAGGTACCATTTGCATACTTGGAGCCCTTGGGTAAGATTTCTAGTACCATGAGGTATGTTACGCAGAAATGGAACAGGGCGTTGACTGGACCGTTGTAGAATAAGGGCTTAGGGATTTGGGCTTAGGGTTTAGGGTCTAGGGAACTTGGCTTGGGGTGTAGGGTCTTGGGATGGGTGGATTTGAGGATTTAAGGGTTTAGACTTTCGGGTTCAATTAGAATTCTGGTATTTGGGATTTGAGGATTGCGCTTTGCAGGGTTTCGGCGCGGAGGATGTAGGTAGGGATTATGAGGTTTTAGGGATTTGCGATTGGCACTGAATCCCTAATTCCTAAACCCAAAACCCTAAACCCCTAAACCCTAAACCCTAAATCCTAAATCCTAAACCCTAACCCTAAACCCTGAATAGGGATTCGGTAGACTTGGGTAAAGTGTAGGGTTTTGGGCTTAGGCGAGGACCTGGGGCTTGGGGCTTGTAGGGTTTTGGGATGAGTGGCTTACCCTAAACCCTAAACCTTCAGGGCTTATAGTAAACCCCAAAAAGT